AGAGCGGTGCTACCTTGCTGTGTCCCCAGGCTGCTCTCAGCATCACACCAGCACCAAAAGCCTCCGTGTCCACACAAACGCACTACGTTGGCACGATTCAACTCTGCAATAAGGGGCTTTCCCCAGCTGCCTGGCCCCGAGCTTTCTAACTTTCCTTCTCTAGGTTTTTGTAGGAAAGCTCCTGCTTGCCACTGACACCCAGTCGGACTTTGCTCAAATCTCCAAGCTGGACGTGGCATAAGAAATGCAAAAGCCACCCGACGCTGCTTGGAGGTCTTCTTCCTCCACACGAGCTCCCTCCCTGCAAGGCAGCATGCAGCCCTTCCTGCAGCCTGTCCCCAGAACCCCTGGACTCAGTCAGACCCCCAGCCTGAGAGCTGGGGAAATTCAACCCACCAACAGACCCTGAAACCCAGCCTGCAGCTCCAGAAGCACTCCTGAAACCACCACCATCACACCCGAACTCACGGGGACACTTAGGACAGTGACAGAGATGACCAGGGCCAGTCTCCACATTGATCCCTGCATCTAAGGGCTTTCCAGCTGGCTAAACCAGTGCTACGGTGGCTTTTTTTTTTTTTGCTATGATAAGCAATTAGGAAAAAAAGGACATGCTGCTGGGCACGGGGTCCCCGTTACCACCTGCGACAAGGGCAGAGGAGCCCAGTGCAGGAGCGGGCATGTTCTCCCCATGCACCAACTCCTGCCAGAGGTTGAGGATGTGCAGATACAACCACAGTTCATTGTCACGGAGACAAGAAGCCTTTTTGTCTCCAAACCCAGCTTAATGGCTTGGATTAAACCCTCCTTTCCCATGCGAAGAACAGAACAGGGACAGTTGCAATGTCCCTATGTCCCCGGCTTGTCCACGTGCACCCCAGGCACCCCTACCCTCACTTGTGTGCATCCCCGACCGGCGCCGGGCACATCCTCCCGGCCACAGCCCGCACAGCGTGGAGGTGCCCCACATCGCTCCCACGCGTGCCCCAAATCCATTCCAACCCACGCCCGCCACACTACACCAGCCAGCAAATGCGCACCCCGCTACAAATGCACCCCAGACTCAAGCACATTTCCGTAAGGCTCCCCCATGTCTCTCCCCACCAGCAGGTCCCAAGCAGCCAGAAGATCGACACTGACCGTTCCTCACAGGCGACCAAACCCACGAGCTCTTCAGCAAGGTGAAACAACGAGAAAACCTCTTGAACGCTGCCCCTTTCCCAGCTCCCCAGGGAGCGAAGGAGGTAAGCAGAGCCGGGGAGCGACCCCTCGCTGTGGGGCAGGCAGGCGTGGAGGGGACCGGGGGAACCAGCTACTGGGGGGCACGGCAGTACTGGGGGCCAACCTTGAGGCTAAGAGACAGGGGACGGGCATGACCTGGAGGAGAAGGACAGCATCTCGCTTACCCCGACAGCACTCCCAGGACAAGGTTGAGGACAAAGAAGGATCCAATGATGATGAGGGGGATGAAGTACAGCCAGTTCCAGGTGGCTCCTAAGGCATCATTGGTCTAGAGGGGAAAAGAAAAAACATGCGTGACGTTATGTTCAACACCATCCGGGGCAGAGGGAGGGTGTGTTAGCTCAGGCGCGATTCTCCCTCCAGGCTGACCACGCCAGGCTCCTCGGGGTGATGTGGCTGTGTCCGCCGAGCCTTGACGGGCACCGGGCAGCTGCCTGTGCAGGCAGGTATGCCCAGACAGGGGCTCCCAGCCAGCAGTGCCCCCATGCCCCTTGGCATCCTGCCACAGCCACATTCTCCTCCACGGTCTCCAGCCCTCATCGGGCAGGACCCGGTCTCCTCTGCCTCCTCCTACCATCCCTGCAGGGACGCAGGGGCTGTAAGACAACGATATAGGCGGAGATGCAGGGCCCTGCAGCCCGAAATTGGGGTGCTGAGGGCGTGTGGGCACGCCCCGCCACCGCAGCTTGATTCAGCGCTCCCCTGCGCGTCCCACCGAGACAGGGCACGGCAGCCCCGCAGCAGCGGCGCCTGCCGAGCACGGGAAGAGAGGAAAGATTTATGAGGTGCCTTAGGGCAAGCAAAGCTGGCGGCTAACGAAGAGGCAGCCGATGCTCGTCCTTCCATGCACAGGGGTGAAGGGGCTGGTGCAGACGAGCCCCACACCTTCACATGGGCATTTTGCTGATGGCATCATCGCTAATACCTTCCAGACACCCTCCGGCCCCGGGTGCGTCACCCCAACACCAAGGAGCTGAGAGCGGAGGGTCACTCTAACCGCAGGGCAAAGCCCGACAGCTAAAAAGGCTGCTGGCAAGCCCTGCTCTATACCTCCAGACATTTATTCACTGAGGCTTTTAATAAAGCAGTGCCCCTCCGTACCTCGCAGCTGGGCCCCATTTGTCCTCCGGTGTCAGGCACGGCGCACATGACGCCGGGCTGGAGGGTGATGCGGCAGAACGTGACTGTCTGGGGGAGGTGGTATCAATCTTGTTGCAATGAAAGACTCTTTCTCTTTTCTCTCTCTTCCCCCCTCTCCCTGTGCTAATTAAGCCCTCATCTTCGTCTGAGTCATTGGCACCACGTCTCCCGGTCGGCCAGTGCAGGAGCCAAGACGAGGCTCTGCAAGGGGAGAAGCACATCTCCGAGAGGGAGAGAAAGCCACCACGCTGGAGTCTTCCTCCAGTGACCGAGGAGTCAGCGGGAACCTCAGCCGGGCGTCCCCACCGGCCTGGGGACGCTGAGCCCGAGGCAGGAAGGGCGATGCCAGCACATCCTGCTGCGGGCACCGACCACAGCACCGGGAGGGGGATGCTGTGGGCAGGCCCCAGTACCGAGAAGCGCCGGGCACCCAGCAGCAACAAGGACTTTGAGGTTGGGGATAAGTCTGGAAAGACTCATTGATCTCCTCCTTTGGCACGGGGGAAACCACGCGCATCTTCTCAAGGTCCTGCACCTTTCAAGACCCCCAGTCCACCACCAGTCCTTTTCCTTGGGCCATGGGAGAAGCGCAGGGAGGTGGGAATGATGCATGGGAATCCCTCCAGCGACACCCAGGCCACCACACTCTGCTCTAACAGCACCATTTGCCATGGCATTAGTCCTCAAGGCATCGTGCAACCCCTCACCCCGAACTTGGCTGGGCTTCAGCTCCCCGCCAAGATGCCATTGGGTACCTGCCACCCGTGCCAGGATCGCTCGCCTTTGAAACTGGCTCCTGCCCAAAAACCATGGGCTTTCCCCAAGGTCCTTGGCACAGGGGATGCAAAACAGATGCAGGTGAAGAAGACATCTTTCCCCAAGGCTGGGCCATTGCCACCCCTCCTTTGGCCTTCTCCCCTTCAGTGATGCGCAGCAGGAGATGGAGTGGGAGATGGGGACGAGGTGATGGAGCAGAGGGCAATTTCCCCAGGGTTATCAGCCAGCGATACCAGCAGCAGCATCCAGACCACCTCTTCCCTGCGGTTTGTGGACACGGCCAAAGCTGGTGGCACCAGGGACCCACAGCTGGGAAAGCAGAGGCAGGGGCTCGGCAGGGCCCTGCCAGGACAGGCTGTCTGCGATCTCCACCTCTACGTGCATTTGTGTACCCAGCTCCCATGGGGGTGGAGGTAAAGGGGATTAGAGAGATTTTAGGGGGGGGTTGGGGGTTATATGTCCAGCACTGTTAGCAGCCAGCGGCTCCAGGAGGGGCACTGCTGGGGCAGGGGAGGGGATGGGGAGCTGCGGCCATGGACCTCACATACCCAAGGACACACCACTGACCACAGCAAGCTCAAGAATGGTCCCAGCCACCCAGGACGATGCCAGCAGGCCCAGAAACAGTCCTGCCTCGAGCAGCCACACAGGTCCCCTGCCTGGTGCCAGCAGGACCCTCCAGCCCCAAGATAAAATTTCCCAGGGCACATCCCAACACTCCCTACAAAACCAGGAGCTGGCGATGCCCAGCCAGGCTGTGGTGGCTCCAGCCCGTCATCTGGTACCAGCTCAGTCGCTCCGACTGCCAAAATTTGCCCTTTTATTCCCGAAGGAGCTGGAAGAGTTGCTCCAGTACCTTTGCAGGTGCAGAGGGCCCAGCTTGGGGGGACAAGGGGGCTTGTTTGGGAAACACAAGGGGCTTGGCATTTCACAGGCTCTGCATCTTCCACTGCTTCTCTAGCCCGTGGCGGAGAGCATGACCACAAAGCATCCAGTGCAGCAGGACATCAGCACGCAGAACAGCATACACACACGAGTGGATGTATTCCCATCTCTCCACTCCCAGGAAACCAAAGGATCCGCCACACCTGCCTGAGAGAGGACGCAGGCTGCCAGGGTCTCGCAGAGTTGCTGAGTCCAGACCCCCTCGCGTCATGCAATCTCCCCCAGACTTTTGTCAGCTCTACCTTAAAAACTCACTATTCCCACTGGAAGGTTTCTCAAGCAGATTCTCTAATTTTTGGCTGCTCTAATTTTCAGCCTATTTATCTGTGGTCATTTTATACACCCCTCTGTTCTTTTACCAGCATTGGCCTTTGGCTGAAATACTGTTTCCCGTCCTGATGTATTTATAGATAGCTATCACGGCCACCCCCAGCCTCTGCTTTGCTAGCCAAAGCAACATTCCTCCAGTTCTCTCTTGTATGACTGGCTCTCCCTCCCTGTTTTGTCTAGTAGCCCCTGCCCTGCTTCAGTCCAGGCTCAGTTCATCTTCCCTGGATGCAGGAGACCCAAGCGAGCGATCCTGATGGGTCCCACTCCATCCCTGCGCGATGCTACCGAGACTTTGCCATCCTGCCTGCAACCCTCCCTGCCCCTCCGCTGGCCAGCGGTCACCCCGCGGTCACTCGCTCATCCCATCTTCCTCCACCCTGCTACCTCCCAATCAGCAAGACCTGGGCTCCTAGGAGATCTCTTTGCTGTTCCTCAACAAGCACATGGCTTTCCATTTCTCACTGCATCCCACATCTCTTCTTCCAGACCTCAAACTCCTCCAACCCAGGGTGGCAGCCTCCGTCCCCCCAGCTCCGGCAAGCCAGCTGACACTGGAAGCAGGAAAGCCCGTGACTCATCCCCGAGGAGCCCCACTGGTTGCCACCAGCCACTACGTCCCCTCAACACCACCCAGCGCCATCCCGGCACTGCTCACTTCCCTGCCAGCCTCGCAGAGCTCCTCTTCTCCTTCCCCTCTTCCCTGCTTGGTTAACACTTTCCGATAGCAAAAGCTTTACGACAAAGAGCAGCTCTACACGTTTCCAGGTCTCCAATGCCAGGTTAGCCTGGCGTGACCTACCTTTGGCAAACCCATGATTCATTTTCCTCTTTTGCCTTCCAAATCTGTTCCGAAATGGCATGCGATTGAGGTCAGGCTTACAGTCCTATTCCTGCCTGCCTTACTTTTTTCCCTCTCCTCCCCCCGCTTTTAAATATAGGCATCGCATTCGCTATTCTCCAGTCAGATGGTGCCTCCCCCAACTCGGTGGAGTTGTTAAAAATACTTGTTACCAGACCTGCCATTTCATGTGCTGGCTCCCTCCGAGAGTGGGGCGGGGGGAAAGCCATCCCAAGCGCCGGGCTGATGGGCACGATGGTCTCAGCACTTGGCTTCCACATCAGCTGCGCTCACGGCCGTCTCCTCCTTCCCACTATCCAGCCCTTTTTTGTGGCCTTTGTCTTTGTGTTGACCAAAAGCCGGGGTGAAATATCCATCCGTGCCCAAATCTCCCCAGCCGTCGCTTCACTGTGCCTTGTTTCCATCTGCAAAGGTGGGGAACCTCTCGCTGTCCTTTAGAGCACCCTTCACGAAGTCTGTGTTGGCATGACTTTTGGCAGCTCCCAAGGCACTTCACAACTTCTTCGGCACCACGATGTAGTTGTCTTTACCGAGCAGCCCCTTTTCCCATCCCTTTGGGGCATCGATTGTTCTTAATATCACTCCATAGGCAGGGGTTCATCACCTTGGTCCGCTGTGCCTTCCCACAGGTTTTTTCCCCTTTGCTGAAGGTACCAGCAGGTCGTCACGTACAGAAGTCAGGGTAGACACAAAGAGTTTAATCCCCAAATTGCATGAATGAGGTAACTCCTCGAATGAAGAAATTCCTCGCTCTTGCCCCAGCCCCGCAGCAATGCTCGGCTCCCTGCGCTGCAGACCAGGTCCCATCGCTCACCCAAGCCCTTTGGGAAACGGAGGAGCTGCCTGACAGCTGATCTTTGCTGCTTCTTCCCTTCCCTTTAAGACAACCACCTTTTCGTTACGCACCCCACCAGCCTAAACCACCACCACCAAAGCTCTCCTGTGGCCACCAGCCCAAGAAACACATTGGCTACTGCCTCCAGGCATACCCGAGACACCAAAACAACCAACACGAGCTTGTCGGTGAAGACTAGGGAAAGCCAGAGCTTCCCCAAGGGACTACGCACCCAAGGGTGTTTCTCATGCCAAGGCGGAGACCCCCAGCCAGAGCTGAACCACCATACTCACGTCTCGGACGTGACCCATCCCGCTGCCGGCAAAGCCACCAAGCCTAGAAATGACACCACCAAGGCGTGGGAGCAGGACCCTCGTAGGGT